GCAAGGGCGATTTTACGGTCCACCAGCCGTTGTTCTGTTTACCTGGGCTAGCCAAAATGGTTTTGGGTACAGCATTGTGGAGGTGTTGGCTTTGCTGAGCTCCTGTGTTCTCACCCAGGCCAGCTTTTTGGGGTAGGTGGGTCAGTGTTAAAGGCTGACGTGCCATGTGTGAGGACTGCGCAGCCCAATACCTCTGTTGCCACAAAACCATCACGCTGATCTGCCTGAAAACCAACCGTACAGCACTGCCCACGTTGCTGTCTCTCTGGGCCAATGTGGGTGCTGGCAAGGGACCCTGGGGATGGAGGGGCTGCTCTGGGTCTCAGGGGGGTTACAGATCAGCAGCAGGCCGTGCCTGTCCTTTGAGTCACCTTACGCCCAAAGGGCCATCAAGGGTTTTGTCCATCAGCCAAGGGAAGAGGGGAAGAGCTTGCAATGGAGATGGTCTCATCCACCAGTCGCTCCCCACATTTATCTTTTGGGCAAGCAAGTGTGGCTTCAAGCAGGGACTGGGTGGCCCAGAGGTCCCCTCCCGCCCCACAGCATGTGAGCCCTGCAGGCAGGCACTCGCATGGGCAGTCTGCCCACGTTGTCAGGAGCCAGGGGTTTTGTCTCCCGAGGTGTCATTAACAATAGGGTGCAGCTCCCAAAAGGAGCAGATCCTCCCCGTTCTCCAGAGCAAGTTCCCCTGTACATCTCGCCAGGCACTGGCCGTCCCCAGCCTTGATGTGAGTTATCAGAGCATCAGCAGATAATGCTCACCTGCCCCATACCATTTGTCCTGGGCTGGTGAGTGGCATGAGCTGACATTGGAGCTGGCCTTAGGGGGTGACCTCCCCTTCCCTGTGCCAGGGAGCTGCTGATTTGGCTCAGCCCTGTCTCAGTCTCAAACCCTTCCCCTCATCTTCCCCTGAGCTTGTTAGACTGCTGAATGGCCCCAAGCAATGCTTTGATCTGCAGCAGGGCTGCCTGGCCCAGAGGCAGCAGTTCTGTAGGACTCTCGGACAACCCATTTACCTCAAGCCTTTGGCCCAGACTAACGCAGTTCTCATGTCCCTGCAGCTCAGACTGGGTGGAGATCATCGAGCCCCGCTCCCAGGAGCGGATGTACGTCAACCTGACCACCGGTGAGTGTGGCTGGGAGCCCCCTCCCAACCTGAAGGTGCGCCAGTCGGACCAGAAGCAGTGGTGGGAGCTCTTCGACCAGAACAACAACCGCTTCTACTACTACAATGCTATCACGCAGCAGACGGTGTGGCACCGGCCCCAGGGCTGTGACATCGTGCCCTTGGCGCAGCTCCAGGCCATGAAGTGCAGCTCCCAGCCTGACTGCCAGGGCCAGCAGCACCGGGGCAGCATTGGCAGTGACAGCAGAAGCACCCCCATCCAAATGGCCCTCCTGCAGGAGATGGAGAAGGGCAAGGGGGACTGCGCTGTGGAGAAGAGGAAAGACCCTGGCAGGTGGGGAGAGCTCTAGCCTTCTCTGTTTATATGTAATGGGTGGCTTCAGTTGCCAGGCAGGCACTGGCTGCCTGGAAAATGGGCTGGGAAGCTGTGTTGCCCCAAGAGAGTACAGCGCTGGGGCAAAGTGCTGCCAGGCCAGCGATCACCACCACATACCCTCCTTTTCCCAGGGTACAGCTGTCCGCTTTCACCATTGCGCTACTGCTTTAACATCGCTGGGTTGGGCCAGGCCTCGTTTGTGTGAGGCACCATAAAAACACACATCGAAAGATAATCATCGCTCTAGAGCCCTTTGTGCTAAATAGGAGGAGAGGGGATGGGCAGGAGTGTCACACAGTGATGAGAGCTGTGTCGGACGCTCATGGTGGGGTTTGCTGGGATGGCTGAGCTGCCGTGCAAGGGGTTGGGCTGCTGCAGAGTGCAGGTGAGCCCGGCTGCTCTGGCTGATTCCCTCCTCACTCGCTCGGTTGCTTGCATGTGCTCGCAGCTTTGGCCAGGGTGGGAGGTGGAGCTGCAGGGACAGAGCTCCTGGGCACAGTTATCTGCTCACATGAAGGCTGAAATGAAAGAATGATAATAGGATGCTATTTTGTTTGGCTAAGAGATTTTCTTACACTCAAACCAGTCTGACAACAATCGGTTTGGGGTTTTTTTTAATTGAAACTTTGCCAACTTCAGCTGCACAAAAGCATCCCCTCCCCAGTCTCTGTGGGGACGGCCCCTCCACCTGGGGCACTGGCTGGGGCTGCCCTGCCTCCCTCCTGCCTTGCCTGGGCATCATCCTGCCCTGGAGAATGTGGTACCAACAGCTGGGGAGGCCGTGCAGTGAGCGGAGTTGAGTCACACTGGGAAGTGACTCACCCAAAGGCTAGAGCAGAGCTTGAGTGAGCCTGGCACTCCTGCCATCCATGCCAGTGTTCCTTGTCCCCACTTCTAGGCAATGCAGCAAGCCAGGCTTCTCTAACAGCTTGGTTCTTTGATTGAGGTTGCCTCTCTGTGTGCCTGGTGCTGGCAGGGAAAGAAGAAAAAAACCAGGATGATAAAAACCATGTAGGATGGTGATTTTGGAAAATATATGCTCTAGAGCTCCTTAAACTGAGGTTTATGCCTTGTCTGCTGCCCCCTGCAAGATGCTCTGGTATTCGCTTCTGATCTGCATGACTGGGAGACACTGGTGATGCACATAAAGTGCACCAGAAAGAGCCCAGAGCTTTGCTGATGCCTGCAATGCTTCCACTGCCTCCTGCCCCATGAGCACCCCCTCTGAGCTTCAAACCCATCCAGAGGATGATCTCTGCCCTGCTGGGAGAAACCTGAACAGTGAGAAATACCTTAAGCTGAACCCCAGTAGCTCCCACTTCCCTGTGGTTCTGCCCTGGTGACCACAGGTGAGCCACAGGCATGTGGGATTTGCCATGAGCTGAGCGGCTTCCCCTCCTTATCCCTCTGCAGCCCAGCACTCTGGGGCAGCTGGGACGGGTACTGACAAACTACGTGTTACCAGAAGAGCAAGTGCAAGAGCCTTGCACAGGATATAAAATAGTCTGAGCTCCGCGGGGTCCAAAATATATCTGTCTCAGGCTCTCAGGAGGGGAATGTGGCCTCCTCTGCCTCAGTCTGGGGAATGGCTGTGCCTTGAAGGATAAGCAATGCTAGCTCTGGCCCATCCCTCAGCTCTGTGGCCCTCTCGACAGGGAGGACCCCATGCAGGCCCCCTTGTATAGGAGGAAAGGGAGCAATGCAATGTGGGCAGGGGTTTGCTTCACCTTTCCTTGCCAGCTAGGCTGGTGCCAGGCAGCATCTCAGGCATCACTGCCACTTCTCCTGCAAGGAAGGAAAATGGGAAGGGGTTCTTCCTCGCTCCATCCCAAACCCAGGTTTTTGTAGCAACCTTGGGGCACTTTGAGCCTGCAAAAAAACTCCATTGAGGGGCAAGTGCTAGAAAACGTGTGAGTGGCAGCTTGCTTGGGAGCTAACAGGCTGCTTGGACATGTGGCTCTTCCAGAGCCTCACACCAGTAAGCTGACAGTATTGGCCTGTGGAAGCTGCTTTCTTGGAAGCAGGAGACTGAGTACTGTTGCCCTGCACATCCATCACATGCTGTCACTGCTGTTTGTGAGGGGGGGTTGCATGTCTGGTTATGGCACGGAGAACAATTTCCCTACCCAAGTCTGACACCTGAGGAGAGATTTCTTGCCTTTTGCTAGCTCATAAAATGGTAAGCAAAGAGCTGAGCCCAAAGCAAGTGTTCCCAGGTGGTATCTAATGCCCTTGCTGGGATGTCTGGTCTAGTAACAGCAAAAGCAAACCAAGGTTGTCAGCTCTGTAGTCTGTGTTGTTCTCCAAAGACAAACATAAGTGTGTCCTCTTCCTTCCCTTGGCAGGGATATAGCTGTATAAACAGAGGGTGAATACACCAAGTGCTGCTGGTAGCATTTGGCATTTTCATAGGTACCTGCGTCCAAGATGGTTTCGCTTTTGTCTCTAACGACAGCACAAAAGATTTGGTTTTCTTCCCTTCCTGTTTGTCATCCCATGATAGATGGAGAGGCCAGAAGAGACCAGCATAGTCCCCAACAGGGGCCTCCTGCAAGCACATGCCACAGAGCTGGGGGAAGGGATTTTGTCCTTTTTTCAGTAATACTTTGTGGTTAAGGTTTTTTTTTTTTTCTTTTAGCAGGCTGGTTTTTCCCACCCCTCCTCTCTTGTGCCTTCTATCAGCACTGCTAAATCTGCTGTGCCAGCTGCCATGTCTCGGAGCTGCCAAACCCTCTGTTTGCTGCTCTGGACAGCCTCAGGTGGAGCAGAGATGCTCCTTGGACAGGCGAGGGCTGCACCACCACCACTACTTGCTGCCCATTCCCTCTCTCTACACACTGATCCCATCCTCTCACTTGCTGCCCCACTGCTTGCTGCTGCTCTACCAGCTCTCTAAAACACACCAGCTCAGAGCAGCCTTCTCTAGACACTGGCCCGTGGCTTCCCCGGGCAGCATGGGGAGGTTGACCCTCCTGGGGAAATGGTAGCTGCTTGCTGAGGGGGAGACACTGCTGCGATCACCGGAGCCTCCTGGGGAAGCTGTTCTGCCTGTGCACGTGCTCTTGCTCCTGTGTCAGTTTTCAGCTGCACTTCCCAGGGCTGCCCAGCCCAGTGCCAGCTCTGATGCTCCCTTGCCGGAGCAAGGACAGCGGGCAGCACTTGCCTTGCAGCTCCAAATGCCTCCCGAGCACTTGGGATCCTAGTAGGAAGGAAGATGGACTCTCCAGGGAAGATGGGGGCCAAATGATCCTTTCAGACACTGGAAAGCTCTGCAAAGGATGGACGTGTTCCCTTGGGGACCATGAGACCAGTCTGGGCCTGAAAGCAGCCTGTAGCATTTTGGAAGTCAGTGTCTTGTGAGCTGCTGCAGCTGCACTGGCTTTTGCTGGAGCTCCTTGGGCCTCATAGGTGAGAAAGGGGTGGTCATGGTGGAGGGCCAAAACCTAGAGAGGACAGTCTTGCTGGGAGTGGAGCCTGTGTGCTGGTCTGCAGTATTTGGGCACACCATCAGTCAGGGCTGTGAGTGGGCTCTGCTGTCCCCAGCCCTGCTGTCCGTGCAGGCCAGCCCTTTTCCTCCTCTTCTCATGGTTCTCCCAGGGTCAGGGACTTGTTTTGGAGTGGGGTTTCCAAGGTTCCCCTTGTGATAACAATGGATCTCAAAGTCCTCCAGGTAGAAATCCACCATCCCTAGGAACATCCTGTCCCCGAGAACAGGAGAGGCATGGGCCCCTTCTGCGTGGGCAGCAGGTTGTGCTGCCTGTCCCCTCCTTGCCCACCTTCCCCATGGCTCAGCATCCTGGGCTGGGAGGGAGAAGGGGCTTGGTCTTACCATTCCAGGAAGGTGTGCTGGAAGGGGAGTTAGAAGGGATGCATGATGTGAAGCCCATGAAGTTGGCTATGAGGGTACCTCTGCCTCTTCCAAGTCTGGTTTGCCTCGTCACAGGCTTAGTTGCTCAATGCCCAGTGTAAGTAATGCCAATATTAAGTTCTTTATAATCGGGTAAGAAACACCATCAGGACTCCTAATACAGGCTTGTTTCCTTCTTATGCCACCGGCCTTGGGGCCGGGCGCACAAGCACAATGCGCTTTGCATGTGTCCACAGAGCTCTCCTTAGGGCTGTGCAGACCTGGGTTTGGGTGGGTTGCCTCCACAGGGTCTCCATCCCTGCCTCCAGTGTGGGCACCGGAGGCAGCAGCAGCAGCAGTGCTGCTGAAATACAAACATCCCTGTTCATTCACCTCTGTCAAAGCACCAGGAAAACGACTGCTGGAGAGCGCAGAGCTGAGGTGCAGGGCCTTTTCTTCAGGCTTCTGGGAGGGAAGAGCAAACAATGGAGCTCTGGAGCCTGGGAAGAGCTGCTGGATACGCTGGGCCTGCTGGAGCTGGGTGCGGGCTGGGAAAGCCAGTGCCAGGTTGTGGTGTTTATATTGGAGCTACTTGAAAGCATTCCTCAAAGGAACCATCTCAGAGGACTCAGCAGGATCTCTGCTGCTGGTGGCTGGAGGGCATGGCCAAGAGGCTGCATTGGGATGGCTTTGCTTTCTGTCAGGGCTTTCACTGCTCATAAGGACAAGGCTGAACCTTTTCCCCTGCTGGGAAGTCAGGACGTCCCTGTTCTCCTCTGCTTGGTCTTTTCAGCAGCCTAGGGATGGGTTTGAGAGAAGCTGTATCCAGATGCAGCCCCAAGAGATCATAGCTGTTGAAATGGTCCTTTCAAAAAAGCCTTGTCTTCTCTGCAGTGGTGCCTCTTTCCTCTGATCTCCAGCAGCCAGGGAGGCTGGAGACTGTGCAGTGTCCAAGATAAGACTGACAGGTGAAGTGGGATACGGCACATGTTTAGAGATTTCAGTTCTCCATCATGTTCCCTTACAAACTTCCTGGTCAGGGGAGTGTGGTGGCTGTGGTCAGGCTGGAGCTTGGCTCCCTCTGCCCTCAGTGCCACTGGAGTGGCACAGCTCCCCTGTCTCTTCCAGCCCTGTAAGACCTCCCTGGATATCCTGGTGGAGTCATGCAAGGACACTATTGTGGCATGAGAAACATGCCTGAGTCCCACACCAGCCCTGAATGCAAAGCTCCTGGGTGCACTACCCTCTCCTTGAAGTAGGAGTGCCCATGGGCACACAGTGGGCACTGGGGCAACCCAGGGAGATACCAATACCCAGTGGGTACTGAGGAACCCCTGGCAAGTGCTGGGGTACCTGGACCAGTCCTTGCATCCTGAATCACAGCCAGAGAGGAGCAGTGGCATGGTGGCCTTGCTCATCTCCTGACTCTGACTGCACCTTTGCAGCCCACAAAGGCTGCTCGGCTGCCCTGCGTGGCTGTTGTGCAGAAGGTCCCAGTGCCATCATCCCCCGAGAGCTGCCTGAGCACCGCTGGGCTCTGCTGGCTCTGGGGTTCATAGCAGCTGGTCTGAAATGGTCTGGGGTGGGCTGGGTCCCAACACGAGCTTTGCCCCTAAGCCTGAAGGAGGGAATGCAAGTCCGCGGAGACAGCTGAGCCCGTTTCTCTGGCTGTATTGCCCGTCAGGGTGCAGACCGTAAGCGCCAAAAACCTGCTTCGGGGAGACTTGCTGCTCGTGGCAGAACCCCTTGCCCCCTTCCTTGCCGTGGCCATCTGTCTAACCCATGCTGCTGTCCTGCTGCCCGGTCTCGGTGTATTCGCAGAGCAGGCGCAGGGAGAGACCTGTGCTGGTGCGGAGCTCCTGCCGCTCCCTGCCATGTCCCACCCAAGCAGGTGTCAAGGCCCCACCCCATTCTCACGTCCCAGGCAGGGCCAAGGCATGGGATGCCTTCCTCCTGCCCTGGTGAAGTGACTCGAGGCAGCGAGGAGCTGTTGCACTGTTGCGCTTCGGGACGCCCGTTGCCCTCCAGCTGGCACCAGGTCACAGGTAGGCAGCCTGTCATCTGGGGGAGGCCGTCAGCACAGCACCCACTTTTCTTTTCCGGATTAAATCCCTCTTTGCTCACTTGAAGGCAAAATCTGGGCTTTGCTCTTTTCCACAGATGTAGGGGGGGCCCTAAAATCATAATGTCACGCTGAGGCAGGAGCCCATCTCCAGAGGCTGGGCTGGTGTTGCTGCTCTGATGCCCGGCCCCGCACCCGAGCAGGGACAGATCGGGACGTCCCCGGTGCTGCCGCGTGGGTGCGAATTGGGACAGGCACTGATACAACTGATCGGTCAGGAGGTGGTGCTACTGCCTGCTGTACAGGCAGGGAGAGGCTCCTCACTGCGGCCCAGAGCTGGGCGAGGAGGAGGCAGAGCTTCGGACTGAGTTCCTGCCGCTCCGGATCAGCAGCGGTTTGGTGAGTGCTGGAGCAGCAGGCACTGGTTGCCTGCCAATGCTGGACCGTACCAGCGCAAACTGAGCCTGTGCAAAGGGACGAGTCTGGTCATGCCATGCCTGACGGAGGTGGGTCAGCCAAGGCTTTGCTGAGCTTGGGGTTCCAGTATGTGCGGAGCTGACTGGAGGTGCAACGTTCTAGGTTAAGGAGAGGAATAACCTCAGGAGGTGGCTCATGGGATGGGGGATCCAGCGCCTTCCCGCAGAGCGCAGGGTTATTTTCTAGCCCTGCTACAGCTGGGGGTCTCTGAAGACAGGGGGACACGCCTGCAGCTCAGGGGCTGCAGGGCTGCAGCACTTCTCCCCTGGGACCCAACAGTTGGACAGTGGTGGTCCAGATGAGATGCTGCTCTGCCCATAATGTTGAGTTAAAATCACTCCCACTTGATCGCTCCTGGCCTGCCCGCCGAGTCAGGAACCCATGAGCGGCTCTGTCCTGCTTGTCCTTGATGCAGCTCTTTGCCAGTCCCACTTCCCTGCCGCAAAATGAGCTGCTGGTACAGCCAAGTGGAGGGGTAGGTGGAGGGATGTCAGAAATGCTCATTTAAAAGCTTATCAAATGTTACTGCTCTAGTTCTTCCTGCTAGTCCAGGAGCTCTTCGAGGAACAACTGGGTCTTCGGCAGCACCTTTACTTGGGATTGGGGCTTGGCCGCGTGCAGGAGGGATGCACTGGTGCAAGGAGAAGTCCCTGCGGCCCCCAGGGAAGGATGCCTGGTGGGTTGCAGGGCTGCGTGTCCTCGTGAATGCCACCTCCGTCCTGCCATTACTGCTGGCTGTTCCCTGCCCATGTCCTTGCTTGGCACTGCTGATGGTCACCCCGCTGCTCCAGGCATCACGTCTCTGGGAAGAAGCGTGTAGAGGACAAGCTACTGATGGCAAAACAGGAGTGGGAGAGCGAGGGCTGTGCTTGATGGCAACCTGGGCAGGTGGAGGGAGGTCAATCCCAAATCCGTTGGTGTTTCCCAAGCAGCCGCTCTTGGGACAGGGTTTGGGTCAGTCCTGGGCTGCGATGCTGTGAGCAGGAGGCAGTGGCTGGGGGACGGTCCTTCCTCACAGTGGTGGCATCTCTATCTTGAAGTAGTATCAAGAGCTCCCTGAAAATAAAACCCTTCATGCCTTAGTGGGAGATGCTGGGGGAGGTCCCTAGAACAAGGGGGACCCGAGGGTGGGACAGCATCTGGGTAGTTGCATGAGGCAGAGTCACATATCTGTCATGGGGAAGGAGCCAGGCCCTGCAAAGGCAGTGGTGCAGTACGGTGTGGCCAGAGGGTGGCGGGGACCTTTGGGCTCTGGCTGGGAGCCAGCTGCTGTGCCTACGGCGGGGCAGCACTGGCCTCACCCGCTCCTCTCCCAACGCCACTGTGCCAAGGTGGGATTCACAGCAATGCAGTGCCGTTGGAGAGCAAGTTTTGCCAAAAATGTGGTAACCAGTGGATGGGGAAGGGGCATGCCACCCCCTTAGGAGTGATTGGGTGCAGATGTGGGATATTGGGTGTGGGACAGAGGATGTGGGGCAGCTCACAGGGGGGGAGCAGGTGAAATAGGGCACCCACAGTGATGTGGGGCTGCTGCTGTGGGGCAGACATGTCCCAGTGTGGTGGGGTGTGCGGAGAGCAGAGTGTGTGCAGTTGCAGCCTGCTGGTGAGAGAGCCATGGGGGGGAGGGCAGGCTCAGGGAACCTGTGCTGAAGGAGGGGCCTGTGACCCGGCAAAGTGCAAGAGGGTTAGGATGTCTGGGTATCTTGGGGCTTGGCGGGGAAGGCAGTAGCAGGGGGTAGCATCACCCAGAGGCAGGTCTGGGCATGTGGTGAAGGTAGGTCCATCTGCCAGCACAGGGGCCGTGCAGGACAGGTCAGCAGCACGGGATGGGGAGCAAGTGTTAAGGTTGAACTAGAGCAAAGTGGCCATGAAGGTGTTACAGGAACATCTTCTGTTGCAGTGTGCCCTTAGATCTTACTCAGTGATGGCTGGTAGCGGATACATGGAAGGAGGGCACAAAATGGGGCCAGGTTCAAAGGGATCTTCCTGGCGACAGTGGTGCCTTTGAAGACCTGGAAGCTCAGGCTGGTTTAATAGCCTTTCTGTTCCCTTTTCCTCAGGGCTCACAAATAAGGACTGGCTATAGCTCCAGCCTGACAGCAGATTGTTACTACACTGCAGAATGTGCCTTTGGGACTGGGATATTGCAGTGGGCACGTTGGGTTGTGGATCCTGAGTACCACCATGGGTCAGAGGATACTCCCAGCAGAGAAGGATTTCGCAGCCATGAGAGCTGAGCAGGGCCAGTAGGTTTGGCCAAGGTAACCAGATGTGAGGGCATCTGGACCGGACTGGGAGGATGCTCTACACAGAGGCTTGGTGGGTTGTGTGGGAGCATAACACACATCCTGTGAGCTGAGGACATCTGCCCAGGTACACCTCCCATAGACCTCATAGGTTCTTCTGCAAAATAAAAGTGCATTTGGAAACTTAGATCAAAAAAATAACGTGGTCTGGAAGGACCGTCATCATAGTTTGACAGTCCGAAGGCAGACGCTTGGGATTATTTTCCAGCTCTCTGCTTGGGTGGTCCAGAATAGTTTATTGTTCTTCAGCTGGTCATTCTGGGTGCTGTGCTAGCTAATGCAGCTTGGGAAGCGTAGGTTGTTTCCTATTTCAGTGCTGCTGATACCAGCCAGGTTATAGTATGATGAACTTGTTTCATCTTGTTGTTCTGCTGTTCATGACTCAGAAATTTATCACGTGTGTAACAACAATGTGTTTCTGTTTTGGGAAGGGAGATCTCCAGGAAAAAACAATGAGGAGCTGATCTAACTGATTGGGGAATTCCAGGCACTTTGAAACTAACAATCTGGTATTTGGGTAGAAGTAGAGGATACTTCAGTTAATATAATTCTTAAATAATTCCCTGTATTTGTATCTTTCTTCCTTTAGGGAGACTCCTACCCACTGGCAGCCTCTGCCAGGTACGAAAGCAGCCATGTTGGTCAAAGTGAACAGTTTGAGGCAGATACAGAGCTCTTCAAACAGTTTGCTTCAGCTGCAGAGTGCTCCAGAGGCCAACAGCCAAAAATCCCTTCCAAAACCAGCCATATATGCTCAGCCTCAATCCACGACCCAGAACCCTGGAGCCACAAAGCAAATGCCTACAGGAGAAACGAAGCAGTCTATGCAGATCAAAAAGATGGAGAATGGTGGGTTTTGCCTAGTGCTGATGAATGGTCCAACTTCTCAAACACCTTTAAGGAGCCAGACAGGAACCCCCCAGCCTGCATCCCCCAAGTATGCCTCCCCTGCACCTATATATGATGAGCCATCTTTAGAGTCTCCAATTTATGATGAGCCACCAGTAGATATGGACACTGAAAGCATCAGTATGAGTGGGATGTCTCCACCAAGGTCACCAAGCAATAGCTTAAAAAAGCAGCTGCAATCAACCAAATTATTACAGCATCCAGGTATGCAACAGCAGCAAGCTGCCAAGAAGCATGCAGGAAATCCCTCTTCCACTGAATACAGTCCAGCTGGCAGAGAATATATAAAACACATGGTCAATGTTGACCAGTCTTCCAAACTCTCCCACTCTTCTGCTGCAACAGCTGGTGCCTCTAAACTGCCTGGTCAGCTTACTTCAAAGGACAGCTTCAAGCAGTCTTGGAGGATCTTGGAAGCCAATGTCCTGAAGAACATGGAAGCCCACCACAGTCAGCAGAACAGCCTGCAAACTCAAGAGTACCCAACCAGTATAAGCCACCAGGATTCTGGTTATTCAACTGGCCCTTCTCCAAGCTTGAGAAAAAGGAAAGGAAGGAGGCAAGGGACAGGTCAAGGAAGACCTGGCTCTGTGGGCAGCAGCAGTGAGCTCACAGCTTTGAATGATAAGCTGATTGCCGAGATGCGTGCTGTGGTGGGCAGGTCAGCAGCTTGCAGGGGAAGCAAAGCCAGCCTCGATGCTGAAAGTCTGGAGAGTGGCATCCCAGCAGAGAGCAGCAAAGTCAGATTTCAGTCTGACCACTTGAAAAAATGCATCAGCCGGAGCTCAAGGGATGACGTCTCAGCTAGTAATAGGTCTCTGTATAGACAGGGCCTGGAGAGCAGGGGCAGCTTTCCCAACAATGTAGCTGTTCCACAGGATGCAGTGAGGCAGAAGAGGACTTTTGAGAAAATAGATTCTTTAGAAAAGAACGTGCCCAGCCAGACAAGTTCAGCCTCATCAGATGCTACACGCCACTCCTCCCAGGTACCTCCCCATCTACACTGGGTTAAATTGCACGCCTTTGCTGGACTGTTGTGGTGCAGAGCCAAGTACCTCATCTGCTCCCGGGTGGGTTTAGTGGATGTGCTGCAGGTGGAACACGTCTGTGCCTGCAGAATAGCAAACAGGTCATAAAGCTTCACAGTTTTGCAGGTGGAGACTGCATTTCAGGTCTGTGGCGTGAGAGGTGGGGGAATTGTGGAGGGGCTCGTGTCCAGCAAGCCCTCAGCGCTGCACGTAGCTCTGCTATGTTACTTGGGTAAATCTGCTGCCTGATCGTTTTACTGACGCTCGTGTCTTCTTTGATAGCCCTTGCCCTCACATGTCCTTTCTGCGTTGGCATGGCCAGAGTTGGTGGGGTACAGGATGCAGGCACCAGGATTTGCATGGCTGCATGGCCCCATGGCAGTGGTTTCTGGTTTTTTGTCTCTTTTCTTTTTCTAATAGTTCCTCATATTATGTTCTCCCTTCCGATCATTCCTGAGCATTGAATGGAAATATTCAGAAAACTGGTGACGGTGCCTCTAGCATCTTCTTGTTGGAAACAGCTGTTTTAAAGCCCATTAGTGTGCGTGCACAAGTGGAGTAGTTTTTCTCTATAACACAGCTCTTCTTCAGAATTTAGTTTGCCATCTTTTCTCGTATTTGGATTTGAAGGAACCTCCTGCTTTCATGGTTTTAGTTCATATTTAGGTTCTACATAGGTAATTTTATATCCTGTGAAGGTTTTGTCCTATTTCTCTTTGATCATTCTTCCAATTATTTCACTCCTGCTGAACAGCCTGAGTCTCTGCATCTCTTCTGTGAGGCACAGCTGATAACAATCCTCCAGTGTGAAAAGTCACTATTTATTTTAACCATTTGTTCTCTTTTCTCCTGTTCACTAGTCCATGATCTTTCATGAAGAAACTCAGCAAAGCTCCTTGACCATTTCAGATTGCTCCAGTAGACCTGTGAGGTGTAACTTTTCTCTAAAAGCCAGGCTGACCTCCCGCTGTGTCAGATTTATGTGTGTGTGTTCTCCTCTTTATTGTAATTTCTGATCGATATTGCCTTGCATTCACCTGAAACCCTTTTTAAAACTGATGTCATGTTCCTGCGTTTTCCATTTTTCAAGCACAGGGCCAGCTTGAGGTTACACAACTCATGTTACAGTTAATAGTTCAGCAATTTCATTTCACAGCCTCTTTAAGCTTGCTGGAAGACTACTATCTGGTCTTCAGGATGTGTTAAACCTCATTGCATTGATAGGGAGAGCTGAGACTTGATGTCTTGATTATGCACAAGCGATGGTGGGTTGGGGATAGGCTGTGAATGGCCTTGAAAATGAAGAAAAATAATTCATGTGTGGTAGGATGGAGAAGGAGAATATAGTGGAAGATGTAAGAAGATGAATGTTGTGGTAAAGGCAACGAGTCAATGAATAAATACTCTATTTACAGAAATACTCTGAGATGTAAGAGTCCAAGTAAGATGGGGAGGAGGTTGCAGACAATACAGCAGCAAAATTGCTGCCTTGCCTGAAAGTGGCAGTGTGTGGCTTGAGCCACCAGCAATGTCCTGTGCTGGGCCTGCATGATGGAGAGGAGAATCGGGAGATGAGGAAATTCATTATCTGAGGAGGGTGGGCAGAAGTTCTAGGACAGGCTGAGCAGAGGTGGATGTGTACTGTCAGCACAAAGATACTAGCTGGGTAGTTGTATGAGTGAGATTTGAGAGAGAAACTCTAGAGAGAGAAGAGGAGAGAACCAAGAGCCTGTTGAACCTCTAGAGAGTATAAGGAGGTGGATCCTCAGAAGTAACATGCTGAAGGAGCAGTTAGCAATTAGGGTGATAGGAGGAAAACCAACTCCAGCCATGGAGGGTGGTTTGAAGGAGACTGAGGATGGAGGTGGCAGAAAAAACTGCAGGCAGGGATTTTTAGGCAGTGTGTTGAGTGAATTCAGAGAGTGTGAGGAGGTACAGGGGTAACTCAAGGGATAAAAAACCAAAACGAAGTAGAAGAGCAGGAGAAATGATTGTGCCCCAGGCTGGCAATAAAAGGCAGTGTGATGTGTGCTAATCCTGTCATCCTCATGTAGGTACATGTTGGGTGTAAGATAGGGAAGGGTTGGACTGCACAAGTCTCTGTCGTGAGTTCAGCAGTTCCTCCTTACTAAGAAGAAAACACTGACTTAGTCAAAACATTTAAGAACTACCATGTATTTTGGGGTTGACTGTAGGCCAGGACCGGAATAGAGTGTGGCACACAAGTTAAAGGTGATCCATGAAGAAGGAAAATGCATGTTTTATTTCACTTTTTCCACTGCAAAACCAAAATTTACAGGTTTTCTGTTTCTTTGTCTTCCTTTAAAAACAAAAAACCTCAAGATTATCTTGTTTGGCTTTATCCTACTTGCTGGAGATCTCCTTGGAGAATGCATAGTGCAGTGTGGGCTGTTTAGCTCTTAGTTTCTGTATGTGGGAATTTCAAGTCTAACAAAACGTCTGTTTCCTAGAACAACTTGTTGGGTGTTTGAGTTCAATATGTGTCCCAGGTTGCTACTTCCATCCAAAACAGAGAGTTCTGGATGGGCAAAATAAGTGTCTTATTCTCACAAGTAGTTATTACACATCATTTTCTTGGGATCAGTACTACCAAAGCTCTAATTATGTAGTTATCCATAGCGATCACTGGGGAAGAATGATGGGACAAGGGCTGCATGTAAAAACTACATACAAAGTCTAGGAGGAAGGAGGGTCTTTGTCTCTGCTGCTTATCTCTGTAAACTTGTGTCCCTGGAGCAAATGAGTTTGATCACTGCAGACTGTGAGTGGGGAGCAGCTGTTCCTAGTTCTCTGAGAAGAAAAAATAACCCAGTACTTGTGAACAATTCTGATTTAATTTGGGGAAGGTTATGCCTATCTTGGATAGGAAAACATGGTAGGGAGCCCATTGCAGAGGTGTTCCTGAGTCCCGTGCAGCGGTACTTGCAGAAGCGCTGGGTCTGTAGTCACAGGCTATATCTTTCCTATGGATGCTGAGGACCAGGGCCTGTTTGGCAGGAGGTCGTGGTGTGTCTGTAGGGTACAGTGCAAGCCAGTTCCATTGGTGGTGGAAGTTGACTGATGCAGATATCCAGTCTCCTTCACTTCACCAACTCACACACAATTTATCCTACCTGGGTGACAGCCTTGCCATCAAATAGCTGTGCCCATGCTCCGCTGCTCCTCTCTTAGCTTCTTCTGTCCCATTTCTGTGTCTGGCCAGTATTTCCATTAGGAGGGTCATAGTGGAATTGAGATACGTATTTTCAATGCCTCAATGCAGAGGCTGTCCAGACACAGGCTGCCCAAAGCTCAGCAGCTCCTGATGGTTGCTAGCCATGTTGATTTGGTTTTTTCTGGTTTTTTTTTTTGCTAGATCTTAGAAAAATGGTAAAGGCAGGAACCAGCTGTGGGATTGTGGGGGCCACAAAGGGTAAAGATGAGAAGGAAATGGTGCTAACAGTGCTGTGGCTGTCTAGTCTCTGCCACCCACCTCCTGGGTTCCTGTGGCTCCGCAGGAGCTGAGGGGTGAAGAGTGGGGAGAGGAACTTGCCTTCTTGGTATGTGCTTGGTGCCACAGAGCTGTACTGCTGCTCTGGGAGTCAGCCCAGCTCCTGCTTGGGCTTCCCCCAGAGCTCTGGGACAACTTGGACAGTCAGCCCTGTTACTCCATGTTCCAACACTTCCCTTCGCGACAGCATCAGTGTGTGGCTGTGCCAGCCAGGCTCTTGCAGAACTGCTGATGTCAGCCACCGATTCTGCACAAAATCATGTTTTGTACAGATTCACCACTTTGCAGTTGCTGGTAGCTTCATGACTCACTGTTGATAATTTTCCTAGCAGGGTAAGGAGTCATCTAAGCTGCTTTTAACACGTCTGTTCTCCATTGCAGCCTGGGACAATAGAGTTGGACTCCAAGCAGGAGAGCAGCGGCCAGCCTGGTGGCTGCATAGGATATAATTTCCCTTACAATACTCTACGGAAGCCCATCTCCCAGAGCAGCATGGCAGACTGGGCTTCTAAAAACCTGAACATGCACACGCAGGGCATCTTCCGCCGAAGGATCTCCATCTCCAACATGCTGTCCTGGAATGGTGGCTCTATCAAGAAGCCAATGCTCATCACTAGCAACCGCACGATCAAAAAAGAGGCATGTGAGATGTTCAAACTGGTGCAGAGCTACATGGGAGATCGTCAGACTCGCATGGACCAGAATCACGTGGCGTTGGTCACAGTCACCAAGTGCTGGAGCATGCAAGGTTTACGGGATGAGCTCTACATACAACTGATCCGGCAAACAACAGATAATACATGCTACCGAAGTCTGGCATGGGGCTGGGAACTGATGGCCATCAGTCTGGCCTTTTTCTCCCCGTCACCAAAATTTCAATCTTATCTTGAAGGTTACATTTATCGCCACCTTGACAGTGATGAAAACAGTAAGTGCTTCATGCACACCCACTCTGACCCCAGCAGCATTCTGGTGTGTTGTGCCACTTATTCAGGGTTTTCTGGTTTTTAAAAAAACAGGTAGTCACCAGCCAGTGCTGTGGTTTCCGTCAGTGAGAGCACCATGTGCTGCGTGGGATGAAGCTGCCACCAGCTCATCTCCCTGCAGTTCTCACTTTTGTCTGGTAAAGAAATGCCAGCCCTAGACTGTGCTCGTCTCACTGATCAGCATGGCAAGATCAGCCCTGAAAAGAGCTGATTTGGACCCACCAAGGGCAGAGTTTCTTTGGGTTCTCTGAAGACATGATTTGCTTCAAAGTTCCTTAAAGCAGGCAAAAAAAAAAAAAAAAAAAAAGGGTGAATGTTAATACAGAATTTTTTAAGGGAGCCATTGCAAACATTGCGAACAGGTCTTAGCTTGGCAAATAGTCGGGGATCCTGAAGGATGCTGGCTTTTGTTGTGAATAGATGCGATTTATCTGTCTTTCACAAGCCTTGTGGACCAGCCCAGGATATATTCAGTTATTACCCCAATTTTAAATTGCTATAGCATCCCGGGGCGGGGGGGGGGGGGGGGGGGGGAAGGCAAGTGCCAGCCTGGAGAGTATTTATTGGCTGATTTGTCGCTGTTTCAGCAGTGCTTGCTGTGTCTTGTCCAGTCTCAGGTGAGAAACCAGAGCACCTGTTTCCATTTGGGGTTTCAAATGCAGATTAAAGCCCCCACAGGTCTGCAGAGCAGGTGGAGAAGTTCTGCCCCAGCACCTCTCTGCCCCTGCTAGTAAGCAGTGGTGCAGTGCCAACCTTTGCCTTGTTTCATGCTTGTAGCCTTGACATGGGGTTCCTTCACTGAACTTCTGGATGTGCAACACTGGTTTGGGTTTTCATAAGGATCCTAAACCCTTGTCACTTCTCCCCAAAACCATTCGCTCCAGCTATGCTTGGCCCAGGAGTGAAAAATCACCCTGCCAGCACCAGAGTCCAGGCAGCAAGGAGGAGTAATCTGAACTATTTGAGTGGGTTGTTCCTTCTGCTGGTATTTAGACAGTAAGTTTGTCTAGGTATAAGCTTGCTGCCCGGAGCCCCTTCTCAACTATTTGGCCATTTGGAGAAGTTGAGTGGTGTTCTGGGCTCCTCACTCTGATGCGTTCAGAGCTGGCCGTGGTACAGGACCTTTGCCCAAGCAGACCTCCTCATGCTGGAGTTAGGCTGGCTACCATGTCTAAGGGCAGTTCTGGGATTTGGTATTTTATCATTCCACATTATTAATCCAGAGCCTCTTTTGAATTTTCAGTTGCCCAGCGCATCAAGGAGCTTGTGGATCTGAAAAACAAGAAGAACTCAAAATCCAGGAAAAAGAGAAAACAAAACACTGAGGATGAAGGTAAAGGCAGGCACAGCATGCAGGGAGCCAAGAGGGAGGACCACACTGACCTCAGACAGACGGGGATGCTGAGCTCCACTGAAAATCAGATCATTTCTTTAAGTGCATAGACTTAGATTTGCAAAATTTTACTGGAGGTGGCTGGTGTGAGAGGTTTGACCAGAGCATGGATCAGCAGTGTGGGTGGCAGCTGGGCAGCAAGTGGGACATGTAGCAGTGTGGCGGCAGGTCTGGACCCCTTTCACTCACAGTTGTATGAGAAAAGGGATTTTAATTTGTATGCAGACCTGGGGCTGTAATTCAACTGGTCTTTGTATGCCACTGAGTTTTCTATAGCACATTCCAGTGCTAAAAGCCGTACAAGCCAGCGTGTTGAAAAGAACCTGTCTCAACTGTAGTAGTGGATTTTGTAAACCACCACCCAACCTGAGGACCTTCAGGGAGGACACTGATACCTGGCAAAGAGCACTGCCTTTTTCTCTCCAGTAGTGGCTTCCTCTTGTCCATGCTTCCTGGACTCTGCAGTTCAGGGCTTGCAGTAGCATCTCTGCTGAATGAACAAGAGCTCACATATTCCTCCAGCCTCAGGTTTTAACTACTGGTTGCAGAATAATAATTTATCTGGCTAAAGTCTTGCTAGACAAAGTCTACTCAATTTTTTTTTTATATGGCTTTCAGGAAACTTGAGCCAACCCTGTGAATTTGTATCGGGCAGCAGTTTATATCATGTGGCCTTGGTATTTTTAATCTGGGAGAGCTAGAGTCCAGCTCCCTGCATTGCTGAGCCCTACCTGATGCCTGTGCAGACATGGCAGCTGCGCTCTCCTGCAGTGGTTTCCCTGTGTCACTGCTCCCCCAAAGCAGCTGCAAGCCTGGGAAGTGACTGAGGAGGTCCCTTGGTCACAGCCCCTGCTGTAAGAGTGTCTATCACTTCTCTGTCTCCAGTGGGATTTGGAGCAGAGACCTGAAATTGCACAGAGGGATTATATTTCTGGTAGGGATATGTCTTTTTCCTTTCCTGTTGAGGCCCTGGAGAGTTCAGCCCATTCTGAGCCTTTGAAAAGTCACTTTGCTTGTGCTCGGAGGGACTTTGATATCTTCATGGGACAACTCCCCGGAGATTGCTTTGGGCAGGGTGTGCTCTGTCTTGTGGGCTGAGCAGGCTCTTCTGTGCAGTTGCTTGTCTATGTTGCATGTGCTGGAGTTGTGCTTAGTAGGATAGAGATAGTTTTTCCCTAAAACTAAAAAATATATCTAAAATATATATGTATTTATATATATATATATGAAATATTATGAAAAAGACATGCCAGGATAGCTTTATAGAGTTTCCAGAACGAACCACTTGAAAGTCAGAAGTGCCTGTGTGGCCTCAGATGGGGCTCTGGTGACAGGTCACACACTATTCCCTTTGCTGGACCCTCTCTGCTTTCTGGCACGCAGAAGACCTGCTCTGGCAGTGAACTGGAGCTTTAGAATAAATGAGCTGGTCTGCAGGCTCCTGCCGGCTTCTGCAAACATGGCGAGGGGTGCAGCAAAAGAGGCAGGAGGGCTGGCAGGTCACTTGAACCAGCTTTTTCACAAGTGACCGGTAACACTGAGGATTTTTTCTGGGGCCTGACCTCAGAGCTGCACCTGAAGTAAGGGGAGATCCTGCAGGAACACGCCAGGTTCTATCTGCTGCTGACTGAAAAGGTCAGGCTTTTCTTCAGGATGCTTATGTCTACTCCACTGGCCTTGCCTGCCAGACATGTGAGGGGTGGGTAGAATGCAGCTCCCTGAAGTTGCAAGGCAAATGTGAGAAGTTGTTCATTAGTAGCTCTGAAATACTTAGATGCTTGTGGATGTAGCAGCAATTTAGCAGAGAAATCCACAAGGAAATTAAATGTACTGTCTTCAAACAGAACTGATTAGAGGTATGTAGAGATGTATTTAAGTCTTTCAGTGAAAAATGGAGTTAAAGCAGTGATTACACACACACACACGCACTTCTTTCAGTGCAGAGGCTTGTAAGTAAACACTTGGGTGAGTAAACATTTATCATCTGACACACACCCAAAGAAATAATTTTGAAGTTTCCCATGCTTACCTCTGCAATCTTCATCTTCTAGTGTAATTCTCTGTGAGTAAATGAAATATGAAGGTGGTGTGAGATCTTTTCATGGATCAATAACCCATTGGAAGGCAGAAGAATAACAGGTAGAAATAAATCATGTGTTTTCAGAAAGAGGATTGCTGATCCTGCGGGAATGTAAGCTGGGCTTTGAGTCTATACAAGGAGGCAAATAATGAGCTGGCAGCTCAGTGTTGGTACAAAATTACTCAGCGTTGTAAAACTAAAGGTGCAGAAGGATCTAGCAAGGGTGAATGAGCTATCAAGCAGCAGAGATGGTGTCAACAAAAGCAAAGTATTATACATGGGAGAGACATCCCTAACTGCATGTGCAGCAGCAGGCTCCTATATAGCTGTTTCAGGGTGGGAAAGACATTTTGCACCTTGTATATAGATTTCCAGCAATGTGTATACACTGTGCTGGGAAGTGGTAAGAAACCAGAGGATCAGGAGCTTGTAGAAAAGGGACAAAGAGCAAACTAGCACTCGGCCATAGTAGAGCTGTGCCCACTTTGCATGTCCTGCCCATGGTCCCTCCAGGGCTGATGAGTGCAGCAGGGGAAGCCCCACAGGAGCTGGACCTGGAGGAGAGAGGAGGGGCAAAGGTCAGCGGGCTGAAAGAAATTGCAGGTCACCTGGGGAAAGCAAGAGGAAGAAATTTTCTCATTGTTTGTCGTAGCGGAAGAATTGGAAACCGCCTGGTTTTGTTGTTGGACAGCAGGCTTAAGAGCGCTCTGTCCTGAAGCACAAAATTAAATCGTTAAGAGTCGGCAGGTTAGGAGAATAACAGGTTTAGGAACAAATGGGACAAATTCAAATGAGGGAGGTCTGTCAGTTGATGGTTAATGGTCCAGATGCAGCACTGCCTCAGGGTATCTCCCATCTGCTGTTAGCTGGGAAATTTTTGCAGGGGAATACTCATTTTTCAGACATCCTGTATCTGTTTCTTATCCTCCTGGTGGCAGATGCAGGTTCCTGATCCGTACGGTCCTTTGGGCTGACAAAGCACGGCATTTCCCACGTAGGGAATGGTGATGGAGCAGCATTGCTGGGATGCAGAAGGACACACCGGTGGTGTGAGGAAGAGGGGCTGAAACACTGCCATAAAATAGGGGTGCCTGGGCAGATCTAAGCCAGGAGAGCAGCACTGGTGCAAAGCCTAGCTGAGCTGCTCAGGAGGCACCTACCCCTGTGCTAAAGAGCACAGCAGGATGGGGCCCTGGTCTGAGAGCGTCCTCTGACTGTGCCAGGCTGAGGTCTGTGAGAGGCCACCGTAGATCGGAGAAATACTCAGACAGCAGCTTCTGCTGGGCTAAAATACGTGTCCTGTGGCAGGGTTCTGAATCCACGTTGTTTGCTGCATTTTTTAAGACATTTTTGGCAGAAGAGTGTTTAAGTCTGTTCCAGAAGGTATGTTCCTGCATGTGCCCCGCCTAGATTTTAACTTGTTATAAAAGCAGAGGTTCTTTAAGAAGCTCTTCACATATGTTTCTAAGCCAGCACATGGAAGAATATTTTCATCTGCAAACTGTTTTTCACTGTGTGGGTTGTTAGTAGTCTTCTGTTCCTGAGCTCCTGGGGCTATTGTGGTACCACAGGAAATAACAGATCAACTTGGATTTCACAGATTCATGGTGTGCTCAGAGAAGTGGAATTGTCTTCAGTATTAGCCCTTTCCAGGCCATGCGGGCAAAGCTGCCCGTCCCTGTACCAAGGGTGTGAGCTGGGGAGCAGAGGGAGTACCTGGCCTGCTTGTTAGGAGAACTGACCCTGCGTGATGAGCTAAATGCCAGGAGCTGGTCTCTAGCTGAGCATTTTAAAACAGCCAGACGGTCGAGTCAAGTTGCTTGTTTGGAAAAGCGGAGGCTAAAGCTAAATTCTCTCCCTCACGTTTCCTTCTGCAGCTCACTGCTTGCCTCCCAGCCTCTCTGCATCTCCTTTGCCCATCTCACTCTGCATGTGTGCTGGGAGCCTGGAGCACTCGCATTGGGGCGGTTGAGTTCTACTACATGGCAGAGAGGCTGCACGCTGCATGTTTAAGGTGTCAGCCCCTGCGGGAGCCATTCATTCTGTGCCTGCCGTGGCAGAGTGCTAGCCACCATATTCCTCAGGGCTCCCTTTGCTCTTTTGGCGATTCAGGTCCATGGGCAGTAATGTGTCCAGCCCCTCGTGCATGGGGCAGGGCAAGTTTAGTTTTCAGTTTATTTGCTTGAAATTTGGTTGGCTCCACTCATGGCCCCAACAGTCTCCTCTGGGTCAGAGGCTGCAGCTTGGTCATCATTGGGAGCAGGACGCCTCTCTGCAGAAACGGCAGGATGTAGGTTTTAGGCTTTTCCCAGGATTGGAGAGCTTTCTGGGAAAGTACAAAACAGGCTTCAAGTAGACATGTCCGGCTGCTGCACACACATCAGCCTTGCAGGCTCTTCAAGGCAACCAGTTCCTTTGCAAACCTTGTTAAACTCTTAGGGTGCTTATGGTTTCATGGTCTAATTACAGTGTGAAAAAACATTTCCTATTATTGGTTTTGAATGTGCTGCTTCCCGCATATTTGGTGTGATGCAGAGACACAGTGCAGTCTTTTTGCCATTCCCTCCTTCGTGAAGCAGATGACACTTTACATCTGGGTGCGTCTGCACATTTTAACAACAGAAGCCATAACCTGGAATAACGAAGCATCACAAAGCAGCTCCTTGGGTTTTTTCTTTAATCCTTAGACATTTCCAGTATAAATCATGCCTGGGATTAGCAGGATTTTTGCATTCAGGGAATATTTTGCTTTAGATATTCCCAAGAGAGAGAAATTCTTAAAATTTACTTTCCTTCCCATTGCCTGCAGGAGAGGGGGATGCTGTTGTACTTCCTTTGGCATTGCTCCAGTGTTACAGAGAGGCTCCGCCCCAGCTGTCAAGCAGATTGATTGAGGCAGGGGGTGCTTGTTTTGTCATGGGGAGCCAAGGACTATGGTTTGTCTGCTGGCTGAGAGGAGAATGGAGGAAAGTGGAGCTCTCACCGTTGTGAATTGTTCTGCTTGGGTAGAGCTTGTCCTCCCTCTGCTTTGAGAGGATTTGAGGAACTCCAGGCTCCTGACCAGCTTACCTAAGCCACAGGGTATGTGAAAGGCTGATCTAAAATACGCAGCATCTGACCAGAATGTAGATTTTAAAAGCCACAAGTATTTTGAACTCTGCTGCAAGCTTTAAGCCTGGCAGGGAATCAAATAGGGCAGATCTATTCACTGCTTTCAGCAAGCACTTTGGGTTTGACTCGAAAAAGAACAAAAGGCCAACAGTTTTGGAAAAACTCTCCCAGCAATCAGTGCTCTGTCAGTGCAAACATTTCTCTTGGTGTCACGGGGGGATTAGCTCTGTGAATCCTGGCTCTGCTCGCCCTCAGAGTTCACTGAACCAAGTGCAACCGGAGCAGCCATTCTTGCAGAGGGCTGCAGCTTTTGCACCAAGCTCTGGTGTGTGTGATTTTCCTTGTATCGCAGAGCACACCTGAGCATCACAATACAACACTGGGTTGGAGGAGGCTGCAGGCAGGAGAGTGAGGAAGCCTTCTGCAGGGCTTTGAGAAGATGAGAGAGATTCTGCCACCTTTCCACACCTCTCCTTGCATCCTGAGCTCACTCTTGGTGCTGGTGCTGCCTCTCTGGCCCTACACGCCTTTCTCTACTGCTTCCTCTCTCATAGTCCAGGACTGCAGTTCTTGAATCATAAACAATTTATTCAAAACACTGAAATCTTTCCTGGCAGGAGGCTGGCTCTGCGTGCTCTTTGGCTGAGATCTGGCAATATGTAAACACCCAGCCCTGTGTCTGTGAGCCACATAACTCCAGCCATGCCGCCGGGAACAAGGACTCACACTTGCATGCATGCCTGGGCTATGAATGCTGAACGGGCACCTTGCATTGAGTCAGGACAGGGTCAGGCTGCCTCTGCGAGAGGTGGAGATCTGCAGGAGTGGAGCTGGGAGGTGCAGAGCTACGAGTCTTGACTCAGAAGACAAATCCCTCCAAGCACAAGCACCTACTTCCACTGACGCTGCCTGCCACAGGGCTGCAGGGCCAGGAGGCTTTGGGGTGCTCAGTGTGAGGTTTCTGCAGTCCCTCTACCCTGCCCGCACAACAGGCTGCATAGAAGGGGGGTGGCTGTTTGTGCTGGTGTGCACTGCTGTGCTGGTGCTCTCTGAAGGGCTCTGGTGTGGTGGCTGCATGGCGCTGCAGGCTGACTGCTGGTTTCTCCTTCCCACCAGGTCTGCCCATCAGCACTTACGCCAAATACTGCTACCGGAAACTCCAGAAAGTAGCCGTCACTGGAGGCAAAAAGGTGAGTGGCTGCCCCTGCTCCAGGACCTGTAGGCTGCCCGAGCAGTACTCTGCTTCCCAGGTCCCAGAGCAATCAGCCCCTTGACTGTCGGAGGTCACTGCTGATTCAGTGATGGGAAATGGACATAGAGCTAGTGGGGGAGGCTTGCTCAGGGCTCGTCTCTCCATGAATGTGTGGGAGAAGGCTGCTGCCCAGGTCCCGCCATCCTCCTGGCAGACAGCAGTGGCTGACATGCTGGCAGCTGCATGGCTCTATGCTCCCTGGCCTTAGGGACGAGGAGGACAAACCTGATGTTTACCTGTCTCCAGGGTAAGAGGAGCTGTCTGTGCAGGGGTTGCCCATCATTAGGTTTCTTCAGGTGAGGGGAGAGTCTCCCTTTGCCACTGAGAGCTTGCATGGGCCAGGTCTTGCAGCTGGTTTACTGCAGAGTTGTTCATTCCCAGTTCAAAAAATCACACAGCAGAGATGGCTGGTGCAGAGGAGAGCCTCTGTGCTCTGTGTTATCTGGAAATCCCCCTCCTCCCTTTCCTCCACATGGTTCTGTGCGGGGCTGTGAAAGCTGGCAGGCAGCCTCACCTTGTCCGTTCTAGGTCTCTGAGCCAGATCGGGGTGTCTTTTATTTCTGCAAATCCCTCTGGGGCCTTCCTGCGATCTGGACTCTGTGTACAGTGAGCAAATAGCTTAAATACCTCAGGAGGGGTGAAGGCTCCTGGCATCCCTGCGGGGGCAGGACAAGAAGTGTCCAGACACACATAGCACACAACTGCAACCCCGGTGGCTGCCACCCTCTGAGGGGTCAGCAGGAGCTTTCCCTCTGTCACACTCACACTTGGCTGTGGGGATGCTGCTGAATGGCCACCATGCTGGGCAGCCTGTCACCCCTGTGACAGCGCTCTGTGTTTCAATCTCTGCCAGGGGAGATTCAAAGCCCCTTTCAAGTGTCAGCATCTTTCAAAAGCAACAGGTCCTGGTGCCCTCTTTTCAGAGAGCTTTAGCACCTCTGAGAGCAAAGCTTTCCCTAGAGTTGGACATACCTGGAATTCCCGTCTTCAAAAGGCTGTTTTTCAGCTGTCCCGTGGCCAAGCGCTCACCCAGTGCCAGGCTGGTATACACATGCCCTCTGCTGACCTCACCACAGCTGGGACAGGCTGGGCTCCATCCTTCCTCCCACAACACCAGCAGGTAGAGCTACAGCTGGAGCAGCCTCCCACATGTGCAAAACACGGCAACAGAATCCCTGCAAAAACAGCCCAAACTCTCCAAAGTGGTCTCCTGCCAACAGGCAGCAGCTTCTCTGCTCCTCTTGGGCCTGATGAGTTCAACCCCCACCCTGATTTTAGGAGGTGGAGGCTGCAGAGCAAGAACTGTGCTGCCAGGAGGCCAGCGAGGTGTCCATGTGCATGGCCGGCCCTCTCCATCCTGGCCGCTCACCACCACCATCCCCAGGTCACTGTTTCTGTGTGGGCTGGCTGTGCCACAGCTGCACTGAGCTCTTCTCTGTCCTCAGGGCCTCCGTAAACCGACAGTGGAAGAGATAATGCATGCCAGGAATGCCATTGTGACGCCATCGCTCTTCGGCAGCTCTCTGGAGGAAATCATGCTGCGGCAGCAGGACATGTACCCAGGTAACAAGCTGCCCTGGGTGCAGACGCAGCTATCGCAGCAGGTCCTGGCTCTGGGAGGAGAACAGACGGAGGGGATTTTCAGGTGAGCTTTTGGGGTGCTATGTTACTTTTGAGCCACCCACATGTCAGTCCTCAAAGCGGAGAGGTCAAGATTGACTTCCAAGTGCTTCCTCTTCCCTGAGAATAGCACTCTGCCATGGATCGGACAAAACCTGACCTTTCCCAGGTTCAGGAATCACCTCTTAAAGTAGCATTAGCCTATTTGCATGCATTAGCACAGAGGGGACAGCATAGATGTGACTTGAACTACTTAGGACAGCACGTACCCAGGCAAGGCATTGAACTTTCATCAACTTCAACAGAAGTAGTTGGCCAGTGCGGGCAAGGGATGAGCTCTTGGGTCCCTGACAGAGCAGTTCATCAAATGCAGCTCATCAGCCTTGATGATGCACAAGATGATGCTGAGGAGTCAAGAGAGACAAAGAATCTGTGTGGTGAACATAAGAGATTCTGGTTTGGGTTTGTTTTGGGGTTTTTTTTTTAGTATTATTATTTAAGATTTGTGTTAGTTTTTCAGTAGCTAAACGTGATTTAAGGTAGCTAGCAAAAGAACTCAACCTTGCATTGTAAGGCTTTCTAATACATTGGTATATTTAGCCAGAGATGCTTCTTATCTTTGGACTGAACATGCTGCAGAGAGGCCTAGTTACAGAAAATAATCACTTCTGAGGACAGAATGATAGTTGCTGTCTGAGCTAGTGGGAAGGAGACAAGCGTTTCTTCTACCCCCACTTGAAAGCTGTGTTTAAAAACAGGCAATGCATTCTCTCTGAGGAACTGCTTCTGTAGCTGCTGCTGGTGCATGCTCCCTTCTCCCTGAGGCCCCAGAAGCAGCTTTGGAGCCACGGTTTGCTGGCCAGCTGCCACACCAGGCACGTTGCACTGCTCACTCTCTGAAGCACCTTTGCTGTGTCTCTGTTTGCAGGATACCTGGTGACATAGATGAAGTCAATGCATTGAAGTTGCAGGTGGATCAGTGGAGAATCCCAAGCAGCCTCAGTGACCCCAACATCCCAGGTATGGGAATGCAGCAGATGTGTGTGCTGCAGCCTCAGCCATGGTACAGTGCAGAGGGGAAGGTACAGGAGCAGCCCAGGAGGTGTGCTGCTGCCTGGGGATGTGTACCCAGGCTGTCTTCACTAACTGGGTTTTCATTCTGTGCCTTTCCACTGCCTTTCCAAATACTACCCATAATAAAAATACGGGGGGCGGTGGGGGAACCTCTGCCTCCAGCTGGCGCCAGCACAGTGAGGCTATGCAAGCTGGGCAGCATGCAGAGCAGCTGGGAGTCATTCAGGAGCAGCTCTTTAGCTCCAAGGTCTCATTGACCTCTCCTTTAGGCGGCCCCAGAGCTGCTTCCTGGAGGAGCAGGTAGATAAGAGCCAGCATTTCCCTCTAACTGGCCAGTTTGGCTGCCTGAGAATTTCAGAGCCAAGACTGAAATAAGGTGAAACAGGACAAGTGCAGAATACCTTCTCTGCCCTCTGTTTCCTGGGGCATTGAGTCTCGCTGCCAAGTTTGCCTCTGAAGGTGGTGGGGAGCTCACCAGAACTGTTCTCATGCACCCTGCTTTCTGCCCAGCCTCTCTCCTCAAGCTCTGGTATCGGGAGCTGGAGGAGCCCGTGATCCCCCAGCAGTTCTACAAAGAGTGTATCAGCAACTATGAGAACCCTGATGCTGCCGTGGCTGTGGTGCAGCTTTTGCCGGAGCTTAACAGACTGGTGCTGTGTTACCTCATACACTTCCTGCAGGTAGGCAGCCCCCGCAGTTCTGCGCCCCTGCTGCTGGCCAAGAGCCTGGAGCACATGGGGCACAGTTAGTGGGACAGCTGTGGTGGGCCATCGGCAGGGTTTTAGGACCTCTCACCTGTTTAAGGTGGGATTGATGGAGGGGGGTCTGCTGCCTTTGTCCCTTATGGGAGCAATAAACGGTATTCCTGATCTTGTAGATCATGGGCCTGGTCCCAAAGGTTGAGATCTGCAAGATGTTCCCTGCCTGCTGAGGCTCCCACGCTGTCGGCTACATCGGAGCATAGTGGTCTTCCCCTATGAACGTGTGGCTGTTGGGGCACTGTCTTTTAGGGAGGCCACATCTCTGCTCTCCTTGCACCTCTTCTTAGGCCACATGTTTGGAGTCTTTTGCCCTTTTCCAGCTGAATGTCTTATTATCTGCAGATCTTTGCTCAGCCATCAAATGTGGGCAGAACGAAGATGGATGTGAATAACCTGGCCATGGTGATGGCCCCCAACTGCCTGCGCTGCCAGTCTGACGACCCTCGCATTATCTTTGAGAACACACGCAAAGAAATGTCCTTTCTTCGCATGCTGATAGTGCACTTGGACACGAGCTTCATCAAAGGGCTGGTTTGAGCCGCTGGCCCTGGCGTCCAAAACATTGCTCTGGGGAGTTGCTGGGTGCCTGAAGTCTTCTCCACTTAGGTTTCTTCCATTGTCTTTGCTGTTGTCACACCCTGGGTTAGCCCCTGAGCATCTCCCAGCATATGACCTCAAGGACAAGGACTAGACACTCCTGGAAGGCTCGAGCTGTTCAGCACCAGGAAGTCCTTGGGCATGCCAGGCCAGATTCAGTGGTTCCTGGCCTTCCAGCGTGTGTCAGAGGGGAGCAGCCCTCCCCCTTGGAGCCACAGGACTGGTTGCTCATTGAAAGGGCTGTGACATCTGTGAGAAACCGCTGCCTGGGGCAGTGAGACTCTCCATCTCCCTTCTGGAGGCAGAGTTGGCTTCAGGTAGGAGGACATCACTCTTGTGTTGTGGCATAAGCTGGTCCTGGGGAGATGCTGCCTCATTGGGGATAATCCCAGTGCTATGGAGCCAGCCTGGTTCACCTCTGCAGACTGTTGGTTGGAGGTGTGAGGGTTGTTCTGACACCCCACGATGCTGTGGGTAGAGGGATGTGAAGGTGCGGGTGGGTTCGCTGAGGCAGAGAGGTTCCTTGGACTGCGCTGGTCAGTGGAAACACATTGCAGCCCAGGGAGAGGAGATGTTTGAGCCTCTGCTGCTGGTGGGCAGGTAGGCAGACATCCCACAGCTGGGAGCCCTGGCAGGCCAGATCCACACATCATCCACCTCACCTTCTTTAGGCGGCTTCAGAGCTGCACAGCAGCATGTGGTTAGCATGTGGGACCAGCCCTGTGCTGAGCTGAACTAGCACCCACCCATGCCATGGAAGCTGGGGACAAGAGGAAGGCCATGCACCTGACAACAGACAGATAAACAACCTCTTTGGCATCCTCCTAACGAGGGCTGTATCCTCTGGAGGGGTAACCCCAGCGGCCTTGCAGCTCCTTTCTGCTACGGGCAAAGTGAGCTGACACCGGCTTTCCTGAAGGGCCATGCTCAGACCAGCCTCATGGCTCTGGCACCCACCCGTCCTGGTACCACATCCTTCCCAGTCTCTGCTGGGGACTGAATACCAGTTTTGGCCACCCTTCTGGTTCAGCCCAGGTCTAAAGAAAGCTGGGAAGGCCCTCAACAGTACCTGTGCTCAGATATGCCTTTCCAGGCAGAGCAGCAGCATTGCTGTGTGCTTGTGAAATGCTTGGTACTGCCTGGAGTCAACTGTGGCACCTATGCGCCTCCCGCCTAATTCCCAGAGGATTTACAGAGAGGCTGGGAAGAGAAGGGGAGGGAAGGGAAGAGAAAGGAAGAGGCAGGTCTGAGTGGCTGAGATGTGCTGGAGCCTGTGTAGGAGCAGTGTTAGGCGGGCAGCTCAGCATTCTTACTGCTGCTGTTAAATCCCTGCGGCTTTCTGTGTGCCACCAGAAGTAACGCACAGCAAGGACAGTGTCTTTCAGAGGCAGTGCATGGATTTCCCTGCAGCTTCTGGATACTGTTGCATGTTCCTTAGCAAGCAGCAATTTCTAATTTGGTGGCATCCTGGTATTACTCTTCTCTTCCTTTGAAGTGTTTTCCCTGCTGGAGGCAGGTCTGCTGCAAAAAGCTGCATGTTGGGATTACTCATGCAATGCTAAGTCTGCTGGTAGCATCCAAGCTTTCATTTATATTTCTGCATTCCTCTCCCTTTCAAGTAGGGACCTGGGATCATCCTCTTCTGATTGCAGTGGGGAGCTGAGCCCTGCTAGTAGAGAGGTTTAAAGCTGGTGTCTGAATCTGTACTAAACGTTTGGGCATAAGGTGCCATGTGCAGAGAGTGTCCCAAGCCTACTGGCTGCTTGGATCTCCTGAAGTACCTGAACGGGGTTTCCAGGGCACACGTTTGCTCAGATGAACTCCACAGAGGGAGTTCGGTTTGTGCCCAGCTGAACAAGGGTTGTGGTTCCTCTCCTTGTACCAGGTGCTCCCACGTCAGGATTAGCTCTGTCAAACATGCCCCCAAAAATGTGTCAGGATCTGTTTCACACAGCCATCTCATCTCACCCCATCCCATCCCATCCCATCCCATCGCTTTGAAGCCATTCAGCTCAGCTTGGCCTTCTGAAATGCTGAACAACTTGTACTTCAGATGTGGGACTACCTTCCCAGAAATGTAGAGACACGTAGGGGGACCAGCTCTGCCATATTGTACCGAAATTTGAATCGTTGAATAGGCTTGGGGTGCCACATCCTGCCCCCCCTCTGTGGGCTGGAGCAGCCGTGTAGTGCCTGCCCTCCTCTTTGGGCTGCAGATGCATGTGCCTGTGTTGGGCTTCGCCCACAGCCAGCCACACCGTGTAGGTGATCCATGTTACTCCTTGCACTTAGCTGTAGCAGTCAATCAAACTGTAGGCATTTGCTGCTATTACAACTGAATGCTTCTTGCCAGGGCTGTAAAATAGGCTAATAAACGACACTGGATATTATTTTCTTTGCCAATAGATTTGTAAATACAAATCAGTAAACCAGCCTCTCCTCTGTTCTAATAATAAATACAATCTCCATGGTTGTCTCTTGTCCTTTTTGTGAATTTCTGATCATGTCCACCTGGAGCTGCAGATTTCAGACCTGATGTCAGTGTTAATGAATAACATTTGGGAATCAGCATGACATAAACACTTGGAAACCAAGCTGTGGGCTGGTTCTGTCTTAACTCTCAGGCAGCTACTAGGGACGCTCAATGAAACTTGGAAGAGAAGAGGTTAAAACAGATAAAGGACAATACTTCTTTACACAGGATCTTCTGGAGCCTTTCAGAAAACAAGTCAAAAGGGGATTAGAGAAGCTTATGGGCAATAGCTCCACAAATGGGCAGTCAGAGGATAAGGAGAGAGGTGCTGCTAATATGCCTCATCCAGCAGCTGTGGGTGTGGCAAGTGGACTGCAGGAGATGGCCACACACACGTGCTGTCCCTGCATAGTCTCTGCTGTTGGAGATGTGGTTAGACAGGCTGTCGGGCTGACCCACCTGGGACATTTTTATGTTCAGACTGGAGTATTCTCTGACCTTTCCTCCATCCCTGCTCCAAGGAGCAGCTGGGAGCACTCTGTGTTGGTGCTCCAGACTCGCGCTGCTTGCACACTGTGGTGGGGCTGCAGCACAAGTGCTGGCTGTGCAACTTTAGCCACGCAGTGACAAGTTACTGCCCTGGGTCTGGCCAGTGCTGCTGATGCTCCAGGGGTGGTCACTGTCCTGGCAGCACTGAGCAAAGATGGTGCACTTCAGGCAAAGCTGGTAAGGGCTGCTCAGTCACTCCAGCAGTTCAAGATCACCTGTGCTGGCCACATCACTGGGTCTTCACACCAGCCTTGCTGGCAGGAGCGTGGTAGGCGGTATGTACCCTTCAGGAGGCAAGCAATGACAAGTGAGAGCAGAAGGAAGACCAACAGCATTGTAACCTCACGCAGCCCTTTCCTAGGTGGATTTCTGCAGCCTGATGTCTAAGTGTTCCCCAAGGCTTTGCTGTGAAATGAGCTGATTTTGGTCAAATCAAAAAAGCCCACAAACTAAGTGCTTCAGCTCAGGCTCAGAGACTTGGACTCACTCGTGCAGCCACCTTGACCTGATACCTGGATCACTCAAAAAATCAATGGCCAGAGTAGCGGCTGGGCTCATAATGAGCTGGTGGTTTGTTCTCTTGCTTCCACCAGCCACTCAGTAAGACCCTGTGCCAGAGGGTGGCTTGAGACACAGCTCACTTGTCTTTGGCTCCTTGTAGAGAGGAGGCAGCTGCAGCTTCTCTGAGACTTGCCCCCATTTGTGGAAGGGTAATGTGTCCTGATGGGACCAGCACCCTTGCAGTGCTGCATGCTCTTGCTGGTGCTGTTGAATTTCTGGCTGGTTTAAGTCTCCTTTTCACAGAGCCTGGCATGAGCCTTTTGCTGTCTCTGCAATCGTGTCCTGGGAATCTGCAAACAAAAATGGTAAAAGCAATTCTCCCAGCTACTAACTGCAGCTGACAGACACCATGCCCTCAGGTCTGCTGTCCACGCTCCACCCCAGCTCCTGAAGAGGTTCAGCAGCTGTTGGGGGATCACAGGCAGCTTTTGGACCTCTCTGTAGATTCAGCTTGAGATGGAGGAAGGCAGGGCTCAGGTCTGGCAACTGCCTGGTGTTTTACGGGACATGGTAACCACAAGGCCACCCATCCTGCACGCCTCTCCTGGTAGAGAAGCTTCCTGCAGTCTTTCCTCCACTTGCAAATGTGAGGGGTCTCCCTCCTCCTGGCCCACCAGAGATACTCCATTTCTCCCTCAAACCAGAGGTGCCCAGAGGTTGTGATGCCTCCCCAAAAATCCAGGGCAGCGGGAGGCCAGTTTTTAGCCTAATCCTCACATTGAGCTTTGCACTAAATCAGCCCTGTGGGAGGAGAGAGACCAGAGGAACAAGCAAGGCTGTGTCAGGAGCCCTGCAGCACCAGAGGGAGGCAGAGATGGGAGGGTCCCTGTCCTGACGCTGCCCAAGTGCAGGTTTGATGTGGGCGCAGCAAAGCGCTGGCAGATTCAGCGGAACTGGCTAGTGGAGATGGCACTGAGCTAGAGCTCTGCAGAGCAGGGCTCAGGCTCCGGCACATCCACAGACCTGTCTGTGGGACAACCATCAACGATAAGATGTAGAAAGCTCATGTAGCTGCTGAGCATTGCTGCTTTTAGAGCTCCTGTTGTCCTATAGCATTTGTCAGCCACAGTTAATGGTGGAGAGAACTGGGTGTGGGTGCAGGCAGCTGGGGAACCATCTCAAGCATGAAGAGGGAACAGGGAAAAGCCTAGGCATTCAGTGAGAGGTAGACCACTTAGCAGACCCTGCTGGAGTTCAGTGCATCCAGGTGGCCATGCAGGAAAACTTTTGGGACACACTGCATCATTCATGAGCTGGACTTTTCCTTTCAAAGCAGGGGGCACCAGCTGAAGACTCTGCCCAGCCCGCAAAGGTTTGAACCTGCATCTCCCAGGGGCTCCTCCTGGCCTGGCCTCCACCTGGAGCTTCCTCTGCCTCACTATCAAAGCCATCCCCCTTTGTCTGAAGTGCTTAGTGTTTACTGGTACCATAAAGGGAGCCTGTGTCTGACGATTGTGTGACCTCAGCTGTCGGGGTTGGGTGCTAGCAGAATTCAGGGCCCAAATCCATGAAGGTGTTCAGAAGCCCAAGACCAAGGCTGGTCTTACAAGCTACTACTTCTCCCAAAGGAGAACTGGTGGCTTACATCAGCTCGTCTCCACTCGCAGCCCCATTTCCTCCATCCCATCTGTGCCAGGTCTGGTGCTTCATTCAGATCACAAGCAACAGGGGAGACCGGGTGGGCTGTGGGGGGGATGTGGAGGGTGGGGGATGGAGGAGGAGCAGGACCCTCTCTTTTGAGGGCAGTGAGCTATTGGATTGTTTCAGCTGCGAGGTACAGCTTCTCCCAGAATGACCTAGCCTTGGTGTCTGCTGGGGAAGGTGAAGGTGCTGCAATTGCAAACAGTACCCAAATACTGGGCTGGGGTGTCCCTGTGGTGTGTGCCACCTCCCCACTCCCAGGACAGGATAACCATTCAGAAGAGCGCAAGACAGCCAGACCCTATAGCCTGAGGGACCACAGAAGGGCCTATAGGGCAGGGTCTCTATCACCTGCAGGCAGACAGCCCCAAAGAGGACAAGGAGAGGAAGGGGGCTACAGCCTCCCCCCTACTCCCAGTTTAATCAGCAGGGGTGGGGGGTGTCTAAGTGCATTGATGGCTGAAGTGCCTGCTTGTTTGCACGTCTCTCCCACACCACTCCATGGATGCGGCTGTCCCTGCCCTGACCAAGGGCACAGGTTGAGGGTGGACATCCTTCCCTGGAGATCTGCAGCCGGTTCCCAGCCTCTCTGGATGTTGGCTCTGGCCAACAAAGAAGGGATGAGAAACTGTCCTGAGGTAGAAACTGCCCAGCTGTGGAGTGCTGTTGTGAGGAAGGCACACTGACTTGGCGAGTCCCTCATCTCCCACCATTACCTGCACCTTGGGACCAGGCCTGGAGGTCAGCCAGACCTGTGGGGACCTCCAGCAACGCTCTGAGAAGAGCAGGTACGAGCAGGGTGAGGGCTGGTGGGGAGAGCTGGACACAGAAAACTCATCCCTGGACCACTGCACGCACTTCGGTGTGGAGAGCTGGGACTATGTCCAGATAAGTCAGTAAACCCCCTGCCAAGCCGTGCTGGCCCCCATGTAATCACCAGCAGGGCTGGTGATCTGCACAACACGCTGCCTCTCTAGGCAGCAGAGCAGTCAGCTTCTGCAGTAGTGCAGACTACAGTGACCCCGCCTGGGCTGCGTGGAGGCAGCCGAGGGCCTTGTGCAGGTGAAGACAAACCCCTGCGGGCACAAAGCCCCCCACATCCCAACCGCCCGCCGGCCCCTTGCGTAGCCGGTCAGGAGGAGGGCAGGGTCCCCTGCAGGGGATTACTCCAGCCAAGTGCAGAGGCTGGCTGGCCTCCCTGCTTTGGCCCCCTTTTATAGTCAAAGCAAGAGGCATTTTCTGAGCACAGTTCCTCTGGTCCTGAAGTGGAGGCAGAAGGCTGGCCCGGTGCATTGCCCTTGCCACGTGCCTGATTTTTCTCTGTTGAGATATGGGGAGGCCAAACAACAAGCTCAGCTCTCCGGCAGGCAAGCGAAGTGCCAGCAGTGAGGCTGCCTGCGCTCAAGGCCAGCTCTTTGATAGCACAGCTGTAGAGCTGGCCTTGAAGGAAAAGAGCTGGAGGATGCCTCGCTGGGAGCTTTCTCCCTCTTTCTCAGGAATGCTGCCTAATCATAGGCCCTTGCCCTTGGGTCTCTGCCTGAGCCAGGTCAGCCACTCCTGTGCCGATCTGGACCCTGACCCCAACCCGTGGACCGACTTCCTCCCTTGACCTCAGACCTGCCTTATTGCTGCGGGACTTGCATGCTCATCTGGACACTGCCACTGGACCTGCTCTGTTCCCATCTACTGCTGGCCTGCACTGTGCTGGGTAGGGCAGTGCCCTACCTGTCCTGCTGACAGCTCAGCTCCAGCTCACCTGTCCTGGCACAGCATGCTGCTCCTGCTGCTCCCCAACAGTGAGCCAGGTGGGGTTCATGATGCTGCTTATGCTGAGCATAAATAAAGGCTTTGCAGGTGAGACCTGAATTGCTTTCCAGACACGGCAGACAGACCCTTCCTGGCTGCAAAGCTTAATTTGTCCATATCTATTGGTTTCCTTCATGGGTGAGGAAACACTGGATCCCAATTGATTCAGCTGAGCTCTTGGAGGGGTGAGGGATCTGTCTGCGACACAGCTGGGAACAGGCAGAGGCAGCACTGGTGCATATGGTGGCTGCCAGCGCAGGAGGAGCACCGTTCCCTGGGAAGGGCTGCCACTCTGTGGTCAGCCAAAGCAGGCGGGTACGTCTAACATCTGAGGGTTTCCGATAATGTTAACCATGGCCGCTGACATCAGATACTGCAGCTGGAGTCCTGGACAGTGCACAAGGAGAAATATCACAAATTGGCATAGACACATCCCAGGACTGCCAAAAGCCATGTGGTGTCGGTGGCAACAGCAGAACAAAGGGTTATTTCCCACATTTCAAAACCAGTGGGATCTAGAAAGACCCATTTCTGTGGAGAAGGAAGTGGATTCTGACATGTGCCCTGTCATGGTAGATGTGCTAAGATTTGTTTGTTTTTTTAAATGAGGAAAACTCCTCAATGAAATATGGTGCTCTCAAAAAAACCCAGTACACAAACAGTATGCTGACATATTGGTAAAAAAAAAATAAATCTGTTTCACTCAAAACTTTGGAGTTATTTTTTTTTAGCTGTTTTCTGTTTTAATTCTGCATTTTTTTTTCTTGCTTCTAGAAACCTGCAATGTTAAAACCCCATGTGAGATTTCCAGGTTAAAAAATAAATCCAAACTGATAACGACATTTTCTACCACAGTTTTTTTTCCTGTTGTGGTATTTTTAGCCAGCTACTCTGCTTCCACAAATTCCCAGCAGACAGCTCACAGGCTCTGTCAGAGAAGCATTAACACAAGTTGCTGTACAGTGACGGGGACCATTCTGCTTTAAACCATCCTTTGTGCTCTCTGGGTCCTGTGCCGCTCATGGCACTGGGCTGAGGCTGATGTCATGGGAGCAGCCAGATTTGTGCAGTGACAGCAGTTCCTGTGGGTATTCGGGAGGGAGAAGACAGGAGAGGAAAGCATTTGGACTCAGGGCCCTGCTGTGTCCTCCTCTGGAGCCTGGCAGCACCTGCACTCCTAGCCCTGCTTCTGCAGACACCTTGGCCACACCAGTTACTCTTCTGATCTGGAAACCTGGCAGGCAACAATCATCCACTTGTCTGTGGCCTCTGAGCAGAAAATGGATTATCCCAGGAAAACCACCTGAACCAGAAGAGTTTACTCACCCACAGTGACAAACACTGTAATATTTGACACGAAGAACTTCAGCCCGCAAAGATTTTTGCTCTTCTGTGTCAGTCAGGTTTTGGCTATCACCTAGCATAAAACAAACAAACAAAAGATTACTTGCCCCTGTACAATTCTGTATGGACAGAAGAACATCCAGTTCTCTGGCTGTACCAAAGGGTAGCCAGACAGCCAAGGGGTGTTAACAATCCCCGTCCGCTTGGCACTGGTGAGGCCTCACCTGGAGTGCTGTGTTCAGGTCTGGGCTCCCCAGAACAAGGGACATCAACGAAGGGGACCAAGTCCAGCAGACAGCTGCTGAGATGGTCAGAGGGCCAGTGCATGGGAGGAACGCCCGCAGCCTGGCCATCCAGGTTCATGGAGGACCAAAGGTGTCAGACTGCTATGTTTGTGCCTGTATTTCACCTTTGTACGGACCCCTGCCACCCCGAAACGGTTCATGCTCCTGCTCGCAGAGTGCCCCTGATGCCTCACTGGGGATTTTTGCCAGGCAGGCTGCCCAGCTTTGGGCAGCAGGGCTCTCTGCGGCCTCCAGCACCCAAGGGCTGTTTACTCCGAGAGCTGCGTCACGGTGCCGCTGGGGCCCGGCGTGAGAAGCTGCAGCCGCGGGAGAGGCACGGGGTCTTCCCTCTGAGGCGGCAGGAGGCTGGGCGGGCTCCATGAGCGGGTGCCGCTCCCATGGGGGTAACGGGACGGCACCTGGCCCGGCCAGGGCCACCTTGGGCCGCGCTGCCTCAGCTCCCGCCCAATCACCTCCTCAGCGCCTGACACCGCCCCCCGCCTCAAGCACCCAACAAGCACGACGTCCGCCGCCACGCGGGGAGAGCGCGCCTCGCCAGCTGCGAGGGGGCGGGGCTCCCGCCCCCGCCCCTCCCGGCGGGCCCCGCCCCCCCGGTGGCTCCGCATCGAGGCGGCCATTTTGTGGTGCTGAGCGGTCGGTGGCGTTGGGCTTGCCGTGGAGCGGGGCCTGGGGCAGTTTGGCTCCGTTCTAACCCTTTTTCCCGTACAGGTCCCTCGGTAAGAGTGCGGCTGCACCCGGGCGGGCTGGGCCGGGCCGGGCCACCTGCCCGCTCTGCGGCGTGGCGTGGGGTGGAAGCGAGGGGAGGGGAGGG